CATGCTTTGCCTTTGCATCTTTGTGTAAATGTGGGCAAACCATCTTTGTCTCTTCACTTGACGGTGCACTTGGTATGTTCAGCTGAATTGCAGTTTTTAGTAAGCACCTTTTCTTTTTTTTTTTTTTTTTTTTCATAGTCCAGTACTAAGAACAATTTGAGATGAGATAAATTTTATATGTAGGTAATTCTAGGAAGATTTTGCTTTGCTTTTGGATATGCCAGGCTGAAGACCTAAGGTGGAGGAAGTGGTATCTTAATGTGGAGGATGTGATTGAGGCTGGTGTATAAATGTCTGACAGCAAGGTGAAAAGTGGTGAGTGCTTGGGTATGTGCAGAAAACTGAGCAGAATGTAAGGTAGAAGAGAGGAAATCTTTTACTGAGGGTAAATGAAATTTTTTTTTTTTTTTACATAATTCACACATCTCTAAATATTACTTTGTATGAAGGTGATGTAGTTTCTGATGGCATGTTTAATATTGCTTTGTTGAATTAATCTTTTGAAGAGCTTAGGAAAGCCCTTGTATTCAGGAGTGGTTTTTATGTCTTTGACGCTGTCATAAAAAATATTAACAGTATGTTTTGAGTGTGGGTCTAAGTGGATGTGCCAGCAGCCTTTGTGTTTCTCTTTTGCTGAGTAGATATGTTCCTTTTTAGCGTGAAATCTTTATGTCCTGTGTTAAAATGACACTTGTCAGCATGGATAGTACTTTCATCTGTTGATGTGATACTGTTAATGGAAAGTAAGACTGTAAGCTCAATCAGCATCTGTATTATGTTAAATGTTGAGGCATTAATGTTGGAAGAAAGGAGAAGTTTTCAGCAGTTACATAAATGGAAACTGTATAATGCTGTAATTTTTTTAAGTTAATGAGGAATTTGGTAAATGTTCCTTCGCTTGGACAACATCAGTGATACAACTGATGATTTAAGTAAGAGCTTCCTGGCTGCTTTTTTGGCTTTGCAAGCAAAGTTTGCAGTGAAATTATGTTGATATTATGATATTGGGATATGATGGCCTTGGACAAAATACTAGTTCTGCTCATGTGATGGAAGTTTTTCTATTTCTTAAGGATCTCCCTGGTCCTTTACAAAGCCCTTAGCTGACAATGGAGAGCAGCGACTACAATTTTAACCTCAAGTAATTCCATGAATTGGGCTGTCTGATGGAATTGATATGTCTAGAAGGTCCTCAAGTAGTAGAGAGAGCTGAGCTGAAAGTATTTTAAGAGATTGTGAGGTGTTGTGACTGGAAATTAACTTCAAGACCATTTTCTTACCTTGCAGAGTAAAACTGATAGTCTTACATCATTACTGAAGGTGACTTTGGACTGAAATAGAGTAGGGGCATACTTGGGGTTTTATGGTTGTGGAGCTGGTTTTGTTGAAGTTGCTGTTCGTTAAATATGTTACGAGAAGCAAACATTCGTATTGAATTTCCTTTATCTTCTAGCTCTACAGCAACAGAACATTCTAGGCCTCTTTCTAGCTGCACCAGCTGGGAAGGTAGAATTGAAGAAGGCAAAACAATGAGGACATCAAATAAAAAAATTACTAAGTAAGTATTGAACAATTACTAAGTATTGTTCTGTTGGTTTTAGCAATAGCCCTCTGATGATCTCTGACTACTTTACATGTGTTAAAGATTGGAAGCACAGCCAGGCTGTTTCATATTGAGCCTGAAGGAAGCCTGTGGGGGAGAGTAGCACTGAGAAGTTTTATCTCAAAAGCTACTTCTATAGTCATTTCAGATTCAAGTTTGGTTAGCACAACTTTCAATTCTGTAAACTAGTGAGGTGAGGGTTGTGCTTACTATCAGAGTAAAAAACAGCAAGTTGTAGAGTATTTGTTTATATAACTTCTGGTAATGCTCTTAAGATTCCTTTCAACCTAATTATAATTTTTATCTTCAAGTGATTCTGCTAATCCAGCTGAAAGGGAAACAGATGAAGTGGTTCTGAGGAGAAGACAAAAACAGATCAATTTTGGAAAGAATACCCTTGCATATGACAGATACATCAAAGAAGTTCCAAAGTAAGTTGCCCTCTGTTGCAGATTTCCAAATAAATTCATATTTGTTCCTGATGTGTGTGTGGATCAGCACAGAGCTTTAGTTCGCTTGAAATTCTATGAACAGCAAGTGAAGAAAACTTAAACCAGTTGATGTTTTGAAGAGAGGTCAGGTATTTTCTGCATATGAGCAAATGTAGATAGGGAACATTTAAAGCTAAATGTTCCCTTTGTGCACTGCTATTGTTAGTAACAAGTATACTTTAAATAAATTCTGTGTTAATCAGCTCCCTGTGATTTTGGGGACTGTTGCTAGGCCAGTGTGAAGTTAATTGGTACCAGGAAATGTCAGCTTTGGGTGAGGACTGTAGCACAGTAGCATGGTCACATCTTCAGTAATGCCTTTTTCTTCAAAGAGTCTTGGGTTGCTTTGTGACAGCACTGTTACAGTGTCTCCCCCGGGCAGGTTCTGTGGAAAGGTGGATTGATTACATTTTACCCAGAGAGTTGGGGTGCTTGCTTTGCTGTTCCCCCAGAAGACAAGTGTTGTTCAGAATTGCAGCAGTCCCTTTTGTTATAATGTATGAACAATGGTGGAGGAAGAGTTCACTGAAGGTACTTGTGAGTTGACCCCTGCCAGCAGCCAAGGACCACACAGCTTCTTGCTCCCTCCCCAGTGAGATGGAGAAAGGACAGGAAGACCAGCAGCAAGAAAACCCTTGGATTGAGATAAATGCATTATAATAGGTGAAGAAAAGAAAGAGGGGAAGAACCAAACAATGCAAATGCAATCACTCACTACCTCCCACAAGCAGACTGGTTCTCTGAAAGCTCTGAGCAACTACCACTTTGGGAGACACCTCCCCTTCCTCCTCTTCCCTACTCTTTATTGCTGAGCATGACATTATATGGTGTGGAATATCTCATTGGGTAGTTCGACTCAGCTGTCTCCGTGGCTTCCCTTTTCAACTTGTTCTCCCCCAGCTTAATGTCTGTGGGATGGGGCAGGGCTAACTGGGGAGAAGAGAAGGCCTTGAAGTACAAGCACTGCTCAGCAACAACCAGAAATCAGTGTGTTATTGGCACTGTTTTAGCCATAAATCCAAAGCACAGCACTGCAGGGACTGCTGTGAAGGAAGTTAACTCCATCCAGTCAGACTTAGTTCAATACTAAGTACAAAGACATTGCACCTGACTCAGGAAAACTGAGTAGAAGTAGCTGGAGGTTAGGATACTAATGAAGGGATGTGAGTCATGATTCTTCAGTTTTGTACTTGTCCATGGGCAATAGGAATCTGCTTTCAGCAGCTGTCAGAGTGCTGGACTGGATGAACATCAAATCTGACTCAGCATGCTCTTGTTAGTTGTTGCTTTTGTGACCTATTTTTGACAATTTTTTAGAATATACACGTTTCAGTTAGATATTTAAACATAGTAATGTTTTGTTTATTAGACCACTGATGGCAGTGGGATCTGATGGACTGAGAATTTTTTTTTTAAGAATGGAAATAATGGTCAGAAATAATAAATGTTACTGTGTGTTTACAGGAATCAGCGAATACCAGGAGTCCATCCTAGAACTCCCAACAAATTTAAGAAGTACAGCCGTAGATCCTGGGACCAGCAGATCAGGCTGTGGAAGATAGCACTGCATGCCTGGGATCCTCCTGCTGAAGAGACCTGGGATCTGCAGCCAGTGTGTGTACATGGGTGAATTAAACCAGGGATTAAGGAATTAAGGAGGGCTCTGTATTTCCTTTAGAGCATTTCTGACTGGAAGCAAGTGAGGAGATCAGGCTCGGAAGGGGGAGTCTCCTTGAATGCTTTGTTTTCCTTTTGTACTTTGTTAGTCTTCAGGAAATTCCCATTACATATTCTAAGTTCATCTTTAAGCAGGCATTTGGAGAGGGAGGCGTTTGGTCTGTCTGCAGTAGTACATTCCCTTCCCCTGTGTATTTACACTGGTGAGCACAAGGTCACATTATTTTTCTGGAAAGGGATAGGCCTAAGCAGAAACTTAATTACTGTTCCTTGGCTTTGATAACCTTTCCATCTTTGATGCCACCTCATACTTTACAAGATTTAGAATAGTCAGTTGGGAGGAAAAGAGTGAATGGAATTCTTGTTGGCTCTGTTATTGCACTGTGTAAATAGTTTTACACTGTTGTAATTGACCTATGGTGGAAATTGCAGTTTTTACACCATTTGGATGTCATATGAGATGAACTGTTAACTGTTACCACAGTTTAACTGCTGTCTGCTTGGGGCAATAAGCCAGATGGGTAGGTTTTTAAACCTTTTTTATTTCCATCCTGTTTTTAGTAGTACAGAACCCTCAGGCAGTTCCCAGGAATGGTTCTGCAAAGATCAGGATGTTTCTGGCTCCTTTGGGTTTGACGAAAAGCAGAAGAGAAGTGAATGTGAAGATGACTGCAGACAGACTGACTACACACCTGAGAGGTATGAGATGAAATTTGTGTGATTAACTTGGGGAGATAATTCAGTGCGTGTCGATGCTGTCAGGTTTTTGTAGGAAATGTTTGCTGTGGAAGAGCAGTTAAAATGCAGCTGTGGAGTTTGACACTTTTTTGAATGTAATCCATCAGTGGTACAGAGCATTGAATGTGGAAAAATTACCAGCACTGCAGAATTACATGACTAACAGGAGGAAAAGCTGATGTTTTCTCAGCTTCTCTGTTTATACAGCAGGGTGCTGGGGTTTCTTGAGCCACCATTGACATGTGCTGAAAGCAGGGGAACCTTTTCAGAAGTAGGAGTCACCATCCTTAATGGTATTATGCCTGTTTGCAGAACAGCAGGGAGACGATGACAGTGAAGCACCATATGCATCTCCCTGTTTACTGAGATACCGTGTCCTGGGGGGATGTGTGTGGAGCTCAGAATGGTTCTGCTTCCAAACTGCTTCCGCAGTTGTGTTCACATTCCATAATACGATGGCATGGGTACCCAAATTTGAGCCATTTTGTCTGTGTTCCTCTGTGTGACTCAAGAATCGCACCTCAGAAAGAGTCATCCTGTGTGGCAATGTGCCATTATTTAGCAGAACTGAAATGATGAAAAATGAAAAACGCCACTTGTGTAAAATCTGTGTCTTGTTTTTGTAGTCCCTGTTCATCTGATTCTTCTCCAGTATGGAAACGCAGAAAAAGAAACAATTCTGAGTCCTCTGTGGTTTCAGAGAGCAAAGCCCCTTATGTGCAGATGTACCACACACTGGAAAGGTATGAAATGACTCTCTGTATGAAAATTCACTGATAATATGCATTAAATATATCCCTGAAGGGATGTGAAAGAAGCTTTGTGTATTTTGATTAAGCCTTTTCCTGCCTCGTGAAAGAGGGTGTGGAAGAAAATGCTTGTTGGAACAACAAGGAATTGGTCACCCAGCCTGGGACTGGGACAGGGGGAGGTTAATGTTAAAAAATGAATAATACAAGGGTAGATTTTTTTCAGGCTAACACTTTTATTCTAAGTTGTTCAAGACTTAAGCTACTTCTGTAGCTATTGGTATCATATTTCCTTTTTTCCCCTGTCTTATCTGCTGCATAAGAAGTCTTTATACAAATAAGAAATGATAGACTGTGTAGAGGAGAGCATGGTTTAACTCTATTCAAAGTTTTGTCAGAACCACCAGAAAACTGGACCAATCATTGAAGTTTTTCAGGGGTTTACTTGTGTTTTCCACATAAACCTTTGTAAAAATGTTTATACAGGTTGGCTTTTTTTCTCTCTATTTATCCCCCCTTCAGAAAAGCTAAGAGGAACTATGTTACAAAGGTGCATGGATTCAGACCTTTTCATTTTATTTCCAGCCTTACTGACTCAGGACATAAGGAGGCTCTTTCAAAATGCTCAGAGTGGGAAGCCTTCGGTGAGGATGATGAAGTAATGACAGTACAGCAAGGTATAGAAATAACAAGGTAAATACCACAAAGATTATGACGTTATTTCTGTTTATTGCTTATGCTGTGAAAGTGCCCTTTGCTTTTCTTCTTGATCTTTTCCTTCATTGGCTACTATTTTTTTTTCCTTCCTTACATTTCCTCCAACATGTGGTGTGTTTGGTTGTTATTTTTGTTCTTTGAGTTTACTTGGCTTTTTCCAGTCTGACTCTCCATCTGTTGCTTTCTGCTGCATCTGCCATTAAGTAATGCCAGAAGATGAGCCCCTTTCACACTCTTTGTCTCATGAAAAGCAGTGGCACTTTGCAGAGTTGGTCCCCGTGGTTATTACTCACCTCTCACTTCCTCAGCCTGGGAGCTGGCATCTTCCTCCCTGTCTCCTAAGGGATTGTTTTGTAGCTGACATCAACGATAGTTATTTGTTTTTATGCAGTGACCCAATTCCAGCCAGTTGTTCTTCGGGGTGGAACAATCCGAAACAGAAGAAATCCAACTTCTTTCTGCCTGACAACAAAACCTGCAGAGACACAGACTGCAGGCTGGAGAGGTATAAAACGCAGCTCATCATTCAGGGTTTGGGGTTTTTTTTTGCATATTAATTTAGAAGCTTTGTTGATTAATGCTGTATTTCAATCCAAGCCTTTATTGTAAAGATAGATTTTTTTTTT